CTACAGTCACGAAATAAAGACTCGCCACATACCAGTTGATAAATATCTCGAACGCAATATTGTTAACATATTTTTTGTAAAAAACTTCGTTCATTAGAACTATTACACTTTGACTGCCTATCTTTATAAATTTATTAAATTTTTTATACAGATTAACCTAGACTCTATACGTGATTATAAATAAAAATATAAGAATGAACGGTTTTGAGAAAGACTAACTTTGAAACCTCATGGACCCCAATTCTTCTACAATTAGTCTCTATACCATCGAGGCCTGCCTCTTGCCCTAGTGTTGTATGGTCTTGCGTCTAGAATTCTTTTCTGCGCTCGAAGCCCTGGCATTCGAGATACGTGTTCTGCCTATCTAAGTCTGTGTCCCTTAATATATTTGACGATATTTTTGCCATCAATTATCCAATTTCCAAATCGTCTTTCCTAAAATCATAAGTCCTTTTTCGTTGCCTGGGTCCGTTACCGTTAATTCGATCGTTTTGAGCTTCTTCTTGTGAATTATCTATAGTAAGTTAATTTTTATTGAGCTGAGTCGGCAGAGCCTCGTTTGTTACAGCAGGGAGCACCACGTGCAGGTGAGGTTTTCAATTGATTGGGTTAAGCTGTATGTTCGCGTTCCTAATCCTTACCACCCTATTCTATCACCCTACTTCAAGAATATTATCAAGTCACCCTATATACATAAAGTTATATACAATTTAGAGAGATTAAAAAAAGTCATGTATAATAATTTAACCAACATTAATCGAACCCTATATCGGGAAGTTAATTATAAAACTTTGATTAATTGATTAATGCACAGTATACATATTTGAAGACTTCAGAATACGCAATTCAAATAACAAAACACTTTATTATAAAAATTATTGTCAATGTTTAATCAGTATTATTGTGACTTGCTAATATTTTGCAAATTTACGTACCCTCACTTATGCGATGTGGTTAAAATTTACGTGTATTTTATATGAACTAAATACACATGTGATAATTTATTCAGTACAATCGCATAGAATTTCATTATTATAATTAAAACACCTTATATGTATGTATGAATATATGCTTTGCTTTGTTACAACATTCATTGTATGATTTGTATACGCATATGATTTCAATTAACACAGACAGACTCGTGTCGCATCTACCTATATAAAAAATTAAATTTTAGATTTCTTTCGCAGAAATATGTGTATATATAAAGTCAATTTTATCTACCTTTTTGTTATTGGTGCCCACCTACGTAATCATGAGTTTTCACACACCTCCCCTCCGTGCGGATGATTCATTATATGGACGCATTTACATGGGTGAATAATTTTTTGTATAATTTAACCACATGCCTCAAAATGAAAAATATATACAAAAAATGTTACAAAAGTTTTACTTGCTTTTTTTTTATGGATTCCAGTAATTTTTTTAATTTATTCTTGATATGTTTTACATGATTTGTTTCATAATATTTCACAGTTTTCCTTTTTATGTTACAAAAAAAGAAAAATGAAGAATGTTTAAGGATAAAAATGTTTTCCACATATGCGAATCAAACACAGTGCAAAACAAATAAAATTACTAAATAAAAAAAAATAATAAAAAATAAAATTAATTTACTCGTACTCTACATTCATCTCTTTCACTTTTTTGACAAATTTAATTTTTATCAAGGATTTGCAATGCAAAAATAAAATAAAAAACTTTTTTTTCTCTCATAATACTTGAAATTCCCTAATTTATTGTAGACGATTATTTTTTATAATTATTTTACATAAACACGTGTAGTTAATTTTTAAATCCACGATGATAATTTCATTTTTTTTTCTGCGAATATATGAATATAAAATATACAAAAATGTTGAAATTAAGAGCACATGCCAAAAAATTAAAAACATTAATTTTATTTTAATTTATTTAAGTTGACCTTCAAGTTTACATAAGAATTTCCTAAATTTCAAACTCTTATCTTCCTTTTCATATTATCTTTGTATGTACTTTAGGAAATATTTTAATATAAAGGATTTGTAAGCTTTAATACACAAAACTCTTTATTAAAAAAAAAACAAAAACATTGGGTGTTAGAGCAATAAGGTAGGCTGTTCGCAATTTTATTATCTGATGTGGAATCATATGATGTGGAAATTCTTGTAAAAAATCGAAAATTATGTTAAAAATTAAAATTTTTGTGTACATTATCTTGAAATATTTTTTATCTTCTTAAAAAGTGTATACTATGAGAGCATCATAAAAATCACTAATTTTCTTTTTTACTTGTTGAACAAAAAAAATCAATCAAGCAGCATGCCGTATTTTTGTGCTTTCGTATAATATGCAGCAGTGATGAGCAACCTTTTATTAAATTGGGCTAAATGAGAAAAAGCAATCGGTTCCCGGGCCGCAGTTATAGCAGATTTATTTTCTAGTTTCAGTAATAAGTAAGTTTAATTTCGGTAATAAGTAATTTCAAGGTATTTTGTAGTTATTTTTAAATGTTTATTGAATGTATCTTAGATATTATAATTATTTTCTTAAACTTAAACATATTATTATAAAAATAGTGATTGAAAAATTATAATAAGAAAGAAAAAAATTTAGTATTAAAAGTTTTAATGAGAAATTTGACACTGCTTCTTGTCGGTAAGTTTGGAAATATTTGCGGGTGTATTAGAAACTGCGACACGTAAACAGCTTTCCAACCTTTCATCATTCAGTCGATTTTGAGCTGAGTTTTTGATAATTTTCATTTTTGAAAAAAGCTGTTCGCAAATTTATAAAAATCGATGAGACTAACTTTTCGAAATTTATTTTTAAGGTCGCTTTTACATTGCAATTCAATAGGCTTCATTTGAAATTTATCTTCTATATTTTCTGGACCTACATCACATGGGGATGCAAAGATCTGAGTACGCATTGAGCATACTGCGAAAAGCCAACATTTAACCAAAAAAAAATATTGTCGTTGGGAAATTTTTTCTTTAAAAAATAAGTAAATAAGGGAAACAAACGTAATTTTTTTTTAAGTCGCAAAAAAAAATTTGTCGGACCGCAAAAAAACATCAGTCGGTTGCTCATGATTGACAAATTAATGAGCTTGTTGCTCATCACTGATATACAGTCACCCCTTATGGTGTGACTCAAGAGCAGAAAAAAGGTAGTCACGTTGAAATACTCATATTGAAATCATCTTGCTATAGCAAATATTATTTGGTTTTTAAAATAAAAAAAAAATTTAATCTCCTCCAAAATTAATTTGCTTTTTACATTCACTTACTCTAACTTGCCTGTTAGCGACATGAGTTATGACTTAAAAAGTTTTTTGAACTTTTTTTTCAAATTAAATGGTGAAAGAAATTAAATAGCGAAAGTAAATTTTTTTAAGGGTCTATATTATAAAGAATTTTTAATGTAAAGAATTTGTGTTATAGGGCATGCCCCGAACTCAAGGGGGTGTGCACAATAGATCAAACACCCGTAGATTTGTAGACTCGTTATACAAATCTACAAATCTAACAAATTGTAAGGAATACGTTTTAATATACATCATAGGAAAATGGGGGGTAGTCTCTTTTAAGACATTTCTCTTTGGAAAAACATGCGAGACAACTTAAGAGCGGTAAGATTTTATTTTTAAATTATGAAGATGTTCTCGCTATATAGAGATGAAAATGTTTGGAGATTTTACTGTATTAAAGATAGAGGGAAAGCAACGGAGCATTATTATCCAAAAATTTTAATATAAATATTTGACAGCTCACGTATACTCACTTACGAACCTTCAAATTTTTACTTGTTGACAAAAATAAATAAAGCATAAATTATTTTACTCCGTTTTTTAAAACACTTAAAATGTAAGAAATTTGGAATCTGTATTATAAAAATAAAAGAATTTAACCTTAAAAATACGTAGTTGTATACAAATATGCAGCCACCTATAAGTTTACCTACGTACCACAAAATCCGTAAGCAAAATATGTACATACATACATAATAATATGCATACATATTATATGCATACAACATTATTTAATGTCAAATTATCACTTCATATTTTGACATTCAAATACATTCATACATACAATACATATATGTACTATATATACATACAAATATACTTACATACATAATGTTATTGTCTTCTTAATAAAATATGTACCTAACTCAATTTTTAAAAAAGTTCTTTCTTATATTATGAATTTTATTTATGTTTTCACTTTCTTTTTCTTTTCTTTTTTTCTATTTACATCTCTTTCTAATCAATGTATTGTTTTCAAAAATTCAGCACGTGTTCTTATTTGTTTACATATTTAAAACATGCGCCCTATTTATATGGTCCATTCATAAAAGCTTTGAAGCTTTGATTTTGGATAAAAAGAAAAGAACAAGAAAAAAAACAATAAAAAAAGTGAAATCGGATACTTCAAAAAAAATTTTTTCTATAACATCCTTTTTCTATACTATAGGGTGTGGACGTGTAATCATATTTTTTCATTATAAAATATTTATAAAATTTTTAAATTTCTCTTCTAAATATTAGAAATAATTTTAAAAATTAATTAATATAAAATAAAAATTCTTAAAATTCATAAAGTGTTTGGATTAAGATCAATTTTAATCTTGAAATTTAATTAAAATAATTTACATAACAACAATGAAAATATGTGAATTACAAAATGAAAGTGAAAGTCTGAAAAAATTTTATGAAGAATAAGAATAAATAATTTTTGAAAATAAAAGAGTGAATTTACTAATAAAGAAAATTTATAAATAATTTGTGAAAAATCCAAAAAATAATGATAAAAGATGACAATTTTAAATTTTACATTTGTATAGAACAATTACTTTTGAAATATCAATAAAAAAAATCAAAAAAATAAGAAAATTTCTATACAGAATTCTTTTCTCTTTGCATATATTTTGTTGTTATAATTTTATCTATAGAGAAGCTTTTCAAAATCATCTGGTTTCATATTAATTTTCCTCTTGTTTACTTACAGTTTCATTTATACATAAAAGGAATTGTTGAACACAATGCATAGAGCTATTTATTTATTAATGTCGAAAATATAAATTTTGTGTATACAAACAAAAAAATATTTATGCTAAAAAGGTTTCTAAAAAAATAATTATTTTATTCAAAAAATAAAACAACAAAAAAAAAAAATGAAAAAATTAAAATTAATTTTATTAAATTCATTACTATTGGTAACAATAATATTGGCTGATCGTGGCCAACGTATACCAAATGGTAATGTTGCAACATCATTTAAATCAAGGCAATCACATGGTGAAAGATCAAGTGGTCATAAAGAATTAAATATTGGTCTTATTTTACCACATACAAATTTTGGTAAAAGAGATTATTTACGTGCCATCAATTCAGCTGTAAATAGTTTACAAAAAGTCAAAGGAACAAAATTGAATTTTTTAAATGAATATACATTTCAAGCATCTCAAATTCATTTTGATATGATGTCATTAACACCAAGTCCAACTGGTAAGTTATCAAATTTTATAAATACTAATTGACTTAAAAATACTAATTAACTAATTAGTAAACCTTAATAAAGGTAAAAACGATATATAAAATAAACGATATATAAGATCTTTTCACTATTTGCATATCGATGGAGATTTCTGTACGATTTAAATTCAAGAATCAATTACAATTTCAAATCCTATTTTATAAGCGTAACATTATTTTATAAACATTTTCATCTCATTTACGAATTATAACTCCTTTATAGAAGCCAGTTGCTCTAGTTGGTTTTTTAATTTAGCTGCTCTTAATGAGGATGCAAGGTTTTCTTCAAATTCTTTTTTCTGAAAGTTTGGTCTTTGGAAACCCTCTATACGGTAGTATTATATAAAAGAAAGTTATAAATTGTCTTCGTTTGAAACATTGTGCTCCAAAAGTTGTTCTTTTAAAATATGCTAATCATCCTGAACTGTATTCAGTTTTGCGGCTACAAGCCTCCGAAGGTGGAATGTTAAAATTCTGGCTGTTATTTTGGTTGTGAATTTTGGCGTACTTTTTGTCTACTTTTGTTTACTTTATCTATACATAATTCTGCAATAATTTCTTTGCGCTACTTTTTTACAAAAGACCGAATGTGCATATGTCACTAACTGAAATCGATTTTATATTGATTTTTTTATTAATTTCTATAGTATCAAACATGCAAATAATTATTCTTTATAAATTCTTTAATATTTCTGGGAATCAAAACTTAATAACACAACAATAATTAGAACAAAAAATTAAATTTTGTGCAGAAAAATAAATCGGCAATCAATATCTTGACAGTTTTTGACTGATTCCTTGCAGTTGGTTGATTCTACTGATGGCAACGCCTTTTTGAGGTATTTGAATATTTGAAGTAAATTTTCAGTGTAAAAGAAATGAAAATTTCTTCATATTATTAATTCTATGATCCCTGCCCTGGTTAGTAACCAAGCCAGTGCCCTATGATTGTAATATGAAAATTTTAAATATTATTCAATTAATATTAATTCAAATAATATTAATATTTTAGTTTAACGTAAACGTTCTCATTTTGTTATTTCAGCTATTTTAAATACGCTATGTACAGACTTTCTGCGAGCTAATATATCTGCCATTTTGTATATGATGAATAACGAGGTGAATTTTAATTTAGATAATTTTACAGTGATTTCAAGACAAAAACTTACTAAGTTAAAATTCTTGCTCCGAAATGATTAAGTTTAATATTTAATTTTTAAATTAACAAAATCAAGACTCAACTTAGTCAGTTTTTGTTCATAACCATAAAAATACTTTAATTGTCTGAATTAAAAACCTTTTTTTCTACTTTATAAATAAGCAATATGGCCATAGTACAGCATCTGCTCAATATTTTCTTCAACTTGCTGGATATTTAGGTAAATATAAGTTTGCCAAAATCATCTATTCCTATTGACGTATGTATGTAATATTAAATATTTTATATAATAAAAAAATAGGTATTCCTGTGATATCTTGGAATGCTGATAATTCTGGTTTAGAACGTCGAGCATCACAATCTACACTTCAGCTTCAGTTAGCTCCAAGTATTGAACATCAAAGTGCTGCAATGTTGAGCATTTTAGAACGATATAAATGGCATCAGTTTTCGGTGGTCACATCACAAATAGCTGGGCATGATGATTTTGTTCAAGCTGTTCGTGAGCGTGTCGCTGAGATGGATCATTTTAAATTTACAATACTCAACTCAATAGTCGTAACAAAACCAACTGATTTAGTTGAATTGGTAAATAGTGAAGCAAGAGTTATGCTTTTATATGCAACACATCGCGAAGCAATCGATATACTTAGAGCAGCTGAAGATTTGAAGTTAACCGGAGAAAATTATGTATGGGTTGTAACACAATCAGTTATTGAGAAACGTGATGCACATTCACAATTTCATGTTGGAATGTTAGGAGTCCATTTCGATACAAGTAGCCCAGCAATGATGAGTGAACTATCAAATGCAATAAAAATTTATGCATATGGTGTGGAAACATTTTTAAATGATAAATTAAATAAAGATAAAAATTTAGATACATCACAATTATCATGTGAAGATCAAGGAAAAGGACATTGGGATAACGGAGAAGTGTAAAATTTTTTCGATTAATTCGATATTCAATCAAAAAATTTGAATTTTTTCCTTATTTTGCAGATTCTTTAAATATTTACGAAATGTTTCATTTGAAGTTGATGGTAACAAACCTAATATTGAATTTAACACTGATGGCGATTTGAAAAATTCGGAACTTAAAATTATGAATTTAAGACCTAGTGCAACAAGTAAAAGTTTAGTGTGGGAAGAAGTAAATATATGCAATTTTATAATCCTGTAAAAAGAAAACTAAATTTGAATCTCTATTACAGATTGGCGTATGGAAATCATGGGAAACACAAAAACTAGATATTCGTGATATTGCTTGGCCAGGCAATTCACATGCTCCCCCTCAAGGAGTACCAGAAAAATTCCACTTAAAAATAACATTTCTTGAAGAAGCACCTTATATAAATTTATCACCAGCAGATCCGGTTAGTGGAAAATGTTTAATGGATCGTGGTGTTTTATGCAGAGTTGCATCAGAACGTGAAATGGAATTAATTGATCCAGCACAAGCCCATCGCAATGAATCGTTTTTCCAATGCTGCAGTGGTTTTTGTATTGATTTACTTGAAAAATTTGCTGAAGAATTAGGCTTTACATACGAATTGGTTCGAGTTGAAGATGGAAAATGGGGGTACTTTAGAGAATGGTAAATGGAATGGTTTAATTGCTGAATTAGTTAATCGTAAAACTGATATGGTTCTAACATCATTAATGATAAATGCGGAACGTGAAGCTGTAGTTGATTTTAGTGAACCGTTTATGGAAACTGGTATTGCAATTGTTGTTGCTAAACGTACAGGAATTATTTCACCTACAGCATTCTTAGAACCATTTGATACAGCATCTTGGATGTTGGTAAATAAATAAACTGTTTTAAGATTAAAAATTTGTTCCATTCCACATATGTATATTCATTTCTTCTAGGTTGGCATAGTTGCAATTCAAGCGGCTACATTTATAATATTTCTTTTTGAATGGTTATCTCCAAGTGGATTTGATATGCAATTATCACTGCAGACCGGATCGGCGATTCCATATAGATTTTCACTATTTCGAACTTATTGGCTGGTTTGGGCAGTTCTTTTTCAGGCGGCTGTTCATGTTGATTCACCACGCGGCTTTACAGCGAGATTTATGACTAATGTTTGGGCTCTATTTGCTGTAGTATTTTTAGCCATATACACTGCTAATTTAGCAGCTTTCATGATAACTCGGTAACATTGAAATATTTCGAAAAATATTGTTGTACCAAAAAAAATTTTAAATTCCAAAATTAAATTCTTTATAATTGCTTCAACTCATTTGTCACTTGTCAATGTATTAGAAAAAAAAAATTTTTTGTTTTAAAAAATTCATGACAAATGAGTTTAATGCAAAATCAATTATTTTTGAATTTATTTTATTTATACTTATGTACACATAGGGAAGAATTTCATGAATTCACTGGGTTGGATGATACTCGTCTTACACGTCCGTTCTCTCATAAACCAAGTTTTAAATTTGGAACAATTCCATGGAGTCACACAGATTCAACAATTGCTAAATATTTTAAAGAAATGCATTATTATATGAAAGAGTAGGTTAAATTTTAAATTCGAATAATTGGTGTTGTGTACTTTCTTTTTGCATACTCACTTTATTACACAAAGTTTTCTCAATCAATTATTTCTCTATATATTGTTATACTTTATTATATAGTATTTTTATACTGGTAGTGTTTTAGAAGCGTTTTCAATACTATCAGTAAAATATTATACAAATGCATGAAATTTCTATTAAAATTTTCAATATTAATAAATTTTTTTGAAATTTTACTGAAATTTATACAGTTTCAACAAAAGTAGTGTTGCTGAAGGTGTTGCAGATGTTTTAAGTGGAAAAATGGATGCTTTCATTTATGATGGAACTGTTCTTGATTATTTGGTTGCCCAAGATGAAGATTGTCGATTATTAACTGTTGGCAGTTGGTATGCTATGACCGGTAATAAAAATTGCATAAAATACAATTTGATTTATAATGATTAAATAAAAATTTTTCACACTATAGGATACGGTTTAGCATTCAGTCGTAATTCAAAATATGTTGAAATGTTTAATAAACGTTTATTAGAATTTCGTGCAAATGGTGATTTGGAACGTTTAAGACGTTATTGGATGACTGGAACATGTCGTCAAGGTAGACAAGAACATAAAACATCAGATCCTTTAGCTTTGGAACAATTCTTATCAGCTTTTCTTCTTTTAATGGCTGGCATATTACTTGCAGCTTTACTTCTATTATTAGAACACATATATTTTAAATATTTTAGAGCACGTTTAGCTAAATCAGATCGTGGTGGTTGTTGTGCTCTTATATCACTTTCAATGGGAAAATCATTAACATTTCGTGGTGCTGTTTATGAGGCACAAGAGGTATTAAGAAATCATCGATGCCAAGATCCAATTTGTGATACACATTTATGGAAAGTTCGTCATGAATTAGATATGGCAAGATTACGAATAAGACAACTTGAAAGTTCATTGGAAAAACATGGTATAAAACCGCCACAAATTAAGTATGAATTCAAAAATTTTTTATTTTGAATAAAAATTTAATTTTTAAAATAATTTTATTTGTTTTGTTTTTTTTTTGAATGTTTTTTATGATTAGACTAGCATCGGCTTCTGATTTACTAAGTAATAATATGAAAGATAGACCACCATTACTTGGAAATTTAAGTTTAGGCGGTAGTGCACAGGATTTATATAGATGGTAAGATGTTGGGAGAAAAATACTTTATATTTAATTCATTATTATAAAAATTTTCTATATTTAAATCATTTAGGTCCTATAAAACAGAGATAGCTGAAATGGAAACAGTCCTTTAAATTTCATTATAAATGAAATAATGAAAAGATAATAAATTTTTCATAATGAATTTATAAAATGAAAATTAATTGCATTCATGATAAAGTTTAAAATTCAGATTATAACAAGAAATAATAATGACAATTTTTTAGACTAATAGCATGGTATATGTGGCATTAAAGAAGGAGATTTTCATAAGATTTAATAAGTTTACTTATAATCGTAATACAACATAATTTAAATTTAAAAAAGTTAATTTTTTATTTAAATTTTATTCAAATTATGAGACCTTCTTATGAATTAATGACCATGAAATCTAAAGAAAAATTTTATTTTGAAACTTTGAATATCTGTTTGAGTATCACAAATTCGTAGAACTGGATGTAAATTAATCGTTCATGTCACCCCATGGTCAAAAATTTGCAATTCTAATATTTATTCTTATTTATACAAAACCAACCCTCTTTTTGAAAAGAAGTTGTATGAAACCTACAGAAACATTTTTTCATACAAATTTTTTTAAACAATTAATATTTATTTACGGGAATAAAAAAATTAAATAAATCTTAAAAAAAATTCAAATTAAAAACTCATTCAAATGCAAAAATACGGCTGTAATATCACACATTTATTAAGAGTAAAAAACATATTGAATAGTTTTTTTTTAGAATTATGTACAATTTAAAATTTGAATACAAAAAACCAAAACCTAAAATAAAATTGAAAAAAAAAAAGTTTTTTAATAAAATAATAATTGTTATATTTAATTGTATATCAGTGGTTTAGATTTAAGAATCAATGTTAAAACATTAAAAACTAAAATTTAAAAAAAAAACTAAAAAAATGGGTCTTAGTTTGAAAAGCGAATCACTAATTGATAATGTTAGTTACCGTATAAGAAGTTAGACATGTATTACAATCACCGTTCAAATGGTTTGTGGCTAAAATAAAGTTTTTAAAATTTTTACGATAAACATCTTCATCATTTAGCGCTTCTCAAACCTAATTTTAAGAATTGGCATAAGTTAAAGTTACTGTTATGTTATAATCCCGCCAAAGTTATTAATATAATAATTGTTTTGTTATTTTGTTAAATTATAGAGCAAATCATTATAAAATTTTAAATAGTTATATTAACCTGCCATATTAATTTCATTTTAAATTTGCTAAATGTAAATTTATTATGTATACAAAGGTAAATGTACGAATTTGATATCGATTAGAACAAAATTGCTTAGATAGATAAAAGTCACAATATGCGTATAACAAATAATGTAAAAGAGAAAGCCATAGATGAACTTCTATAAAGTCAGAATGTTAATGCTCTCAGAGCAAAACATATTTCGCAAAACAAAAATTATCTCGCATCGCAAAGTATTTTTTTTAACAGTTTTAATATTAAATAATCAATTTCTATCAATGTTTATTTTAGAATTATTGCAAGTGTTCTATACAATTTTCAAAATCATTATGAATGTTTAAGTAAATAATGGTAAAATCTTAATAATTATCTTCGTTGTCAAATTTTCTTACCCTGAATTATTTTAATTTTTTTAAAATTTATTCAAAATATTTATTAGTTAAAATATCTAAATTCTATTTTCGTTGAAAATCTATATCAAATTAAATAAATAGTATAATCATAATAAAAATTTGAACATTCAAATCTAAATAAATAAAGTGGTTCCAACAAAATTAAAAAAAAAATTCTAATTGTGTACCAAATTATTATATTGAATTGTTAAAGAAATTAAACATTATTTATAAAAATGAGAAATAAATTATAGCTTTACAAAAATATAAAAATCCAATTCTTTATACCTATAACTATTTAATGAATGAGACTTATTCTTAGTATCGAATCACTTGGTGATAGTGATAATATTAGCGTAAAGAGTTCGATTTGATTATTATAAACACAAACTAATTCAAACAGATGATTCGTGTCTTTAATAAAGATTTTCAAAATTTTACGATAAAATATCACTATCACTCTTAATGATTCGCAAATACTCAGAATAAGCCCCAATGTTATTCTAAATTTAATCAATTCTATATAATTATATTTTAACTATATAACAATAATTTTTCTATATAAAATATTTTTATTTAAAATGTAAAAACAAAAAACAAAACAATCCTCATGAAACGAAACTAAAATGTGAATATAAATGAAACCAAATAAAATGGAAACGATCGCAAGTTAACGTTATTAAAAAAAAAAGTAGTGCAAAAGAATGAAAATTTTATTTTTTTGAAATATGAAAAGGTCAAAAGAAGAGAAATATTAAATTATAAATATTAAAATCTATGTATTATGTTTATTTTATGTCAAAATAAAAGTCAAAAAATCAACAATAAAAGAAAATATTTAATACAACAAACTGAAAATAATTAAAAGAAAAAATATTTAAAAAACAAACAAACATTCTTTTAAAATAAAATAAAATTGTAAACCAAATCAAAAATTATTAATTAAGCAAATAAATAATTATCTGCCATCTTGATTACGTCATTAATGGAATGGTAAAGGTTCAAAATTACGCAGTGAAAAATTTTATTCGAATAATAAAGAACAATTGCAAGAGTAGCTATTTTCAAAAACGCAGTCTTCCTACCATAATCAATCATGTTATAAAATCAAAAAGCTCTTAATATTACCAATATACTAAAAGAAAATAGCGATACTGAATGTTTTATATTCCAAATTTATTTCTGAAAATTTACAAATCTCAATTTAATAAAATTTTAGCAAAGCCGTAGCTAAACATGCGTCTTTGTTAGCAGTAATTATAGAGTAAGACTGCTGCAAGTGTGTGTCGCAATTTGCAAACAAATTTCATTCAAAAACCCCTCCAAATAAAAAAAATATTTAAACTGCATGTACTCTAATTAGTTGTTTATTTGAACAACAAATTTAAATACAGATTCAACTGCATTTTTGAAAATACCTAGACATGTCGAATTGATAATAAAATTTTAATATTTAACAAATTAAAAACAAAACTAAATTAAATGGTGTAAAAGTAAAATTTAAAATATATAAAAATTTTATGTTATATAGAATGTAATTTGAAAATTTAATAAAAAAAAAATATAAATAAAATTTGAATAAAAATATCTGTTAAAAAAAACCAAGTTCCTAAAGTGTTTTTCTTAAACCATAGCTGATGAGATCTAATTCAGATTTAGACGTACCGTAAGATTAAAGAAAACCGAAGAAGAAATGAAATTAAAAGTATTTCCCTGCACATTATTTTCTGGAAAGGGTTTTATATTAAGCATTTCAACTAAAATCCAACAAAATTAAAAGTTACAAGGTAGAATAAAATCAACAATAAAAATTTTAATGTCAAAATTGTCTCCTCATGCTTATGCCTAAAAATATTAATTTTCATTTTTTTATTATAAAACAAGCAAAATATTGCCGGTTATATTGCCATTTTTTTTCTGTAAAACTCTTTAAGATCGCATGAGTTTACGTGGTAACTACCATTTATGTATTTAAAAGGTACTATAACCAAAGAGAATCTGACCATTGGTGCAGTGGTTATGGCACCGGTCCTTTAACCGAAGGGTCTCGGGTTCAAACCCCGGTCAGGTCACTATAAAAATTATATTCAATATTATTATAACTTAATATACAATACTAATAAAAATATTATACAAGTAATTTTCAAATATTCCTAATATTCGATATTAAAAAAAAAAACTAAGAAAAATAAACAGTAAATATTAATAACCTCAAATAATTAATATAAATAAAAAAAAAAAAAAACTACGGCAGGCTAGTCACCTACCTAGTTAAATCCTATGACGCTATGAAACTAGTGCATGAGAAATCATGCACTAGCCCTATGCTCCTTCTAGGAGTGAACAAAGGAAAAAAAAAAAAAAAAAAAATAACCAAAGAGAGCAACAAATTGTATGAACCAGCGTGGCAATTATGAACTCTTGAAATCATCCATTCGAACGGGTATTACAGCATTGACTCTGTCTTTCCCCATTATCGTTTTCTTTTGAATTTTATAATTTTATATTTTCATAAATTTGTATGTAGGTATATATACGGTCTAAAGAATTGCCCTTTTACAATTTATTTTTATACAATATAAAATTTAATAAAGGATCTTTAATATGTTGCATTGGTTACGTCTAATTAGAGCATATTATGAGACCTCATAAAAAAAACTGTACACAATTATTGTTCTTACCATATATTTATGTACTTATGTATGTATAAATGTATGTACATTAATCCTTTAAATTTAAACAAATCAAATAATTAAGAGCTCATTTGAGGAAAACGAAACTCCTTTTTGTGATTATTTTTTAAAGTAAAAGTTAATGGAATCTCATTTACTAACATAATGTACATATGTATATACATACATATAAAAATTCATCGTTTTTTTGTTATTTTGATAAAATAAAAAAAATAATAATTAATGATTAGATACCTTTTTCATGTAAGTATGTATCTCAACTTTCAATAAATCTGCGCCAAATCAAATTACTTTTATACTTTAAAATTTTACGAAACAAAACAAAAAAAATCTATTTATATTAATTGCATACATATGTATGTATGTATGTATGTTTGTGGTTATATATGTATATGTGAACAATTTTCTATTTATAAATACATATTATAACTTTTTATTGTAAATGCCAGAAATTTCAGATGATCAAGCTTTCAAAAGTTGCAATCTGGTGTAGTTATCCAAAACTAAACTAATGAAAATGCTATCGGGTAAAACCTAGTGTAATTTTCATTTTGGATAGTTTTGAGAAATTTTAAATTTTATGAATTTACTTACCTTCAGAAATGATAAATTTCAGGATAATCAGACAAAATAATAATGACTAATCAAATTATTTTGTTGCAAATTTTGTATTCAGTAAAACCTCGAATAATTTTGCATTTTATCTATGATTTTATACTGGACAACCCCTGATTATGATACCCGCTACAGGTGCGGTTTTATAAACAATAAAAATACAATTAAAACCAAATTCAGATCCAAAGGTTAATTTTTTTTATTGTCTTTTGAAATTGTAATTCAAAAGTCTAAGCTCCTTAAAATAATTTCTCTTTAATATGTAAACAGTAATCAGACTTTGTTTTACATTTAGTTTTGAATTGAATTTTGTCTGATACTTAAATCAAATCTGAATCTGATGTACATACATATGTATGTATAACAGATACATGTCTCAATTATTATTATTAATCTTTGATTAGTAAACGCTGCCTATATGAATTTGGAGATTTCGACACTCTTATTCTATTTTCAATTTCAATTTAAGATTTAATGATAAAATCTGAAGAACATTTTCACCACAATTTCATTTTCTACATTAACGTCAAACTTCTGACGGCAACATTTTAAATATAGCTCATGTATAAACTCACCACATGAAATTCAAAAATATAAAATAAAAATCACTTGATCGCTTTTGTGAAAACTTTTACTTGTAAAATATTAAGAATCTGACAGAAAAAATGGTAATATTTCTGACTGAAAATCTGATGATAGCTTTCTATGTATTTGACAATATTACATATCTGTACATAATTTAGTTAGTTGTCTATATTTAATTAGGTTTAATAATTTAGGTTTTTGTTATTAATAAGCCAAACCTTATAATAATTCTGTTTTAGAATTCTATCAAATTCCATTTAGCATAAACGTGAACACCGGCAAACAGTGTCTGGTGAAAATTACATATTTTTTTTTAGTTTTAAATTCACCACAGAAAGCGTTATCTACCAGCCAGTGGATTAACTAAAGAATTGGCTTTACTTTTAGCCGCAAAAAGCACTATTATCAGTAATCAGTGTTAAAAATGACATCTTAAATCATATGTTTTGCTGTCCTGATAGTTTGCACATAGATACATGTACATATTTTGCAGAAATCAAGGATAAATTTAAAGTGTATTTCTTTGCGCCTTTTCGTAACGCAGTTCTTAATTATATTTTTGTATTCACATGTAAAAAATTCTAAAATTCTATTAAAATGTCTCGTGTAATTTTTTTCTTAACTATAAAACGAAGATTCTACAAATTAAAAGTTTTATTTTTAGGATATAAGATCATTTTTTGCACCCAAAAATTCTTCATCCAAAGTGGTAAAAACTGCAACCGAACTACCAAAACGAAGAGCAATTGCTTTATCAAGTGATGATGATGACGATAAAGATCAAGTAAAAGGAACTCCAAAAGAAAAACGTGAAAAAACCAAAGTTGTGAAAAAACGCCGTGTTATAGAATCTGACGATGATGATATTGTAACTGAAACACCCACAAAGCCTAAAAATAAAAAGCCGAATTTGTCAAAACTTTTGGAAAATCTTACACCAAAATATAAAAAAGAAACTACAGAAGAAATTGAAGCAAAATTTGGTCATGTACCAAAACGAATAGAAAGAAAAAAGGCTCCGCCTAAAATAAAATCAATAGAACATTCGGATAAAAATTCGGATATTATTGCCCTGGATGACGATTTTAATGACTCATTGATTAAATTAAGTGAAAATGAATTTTCTGAAAATAATCTAAATAAAAAAAATGATGTAGAAAGTCCCACAAAAAATGCATTTGTTACAGAAAACTCAAAAAATACAAAAAAAAGTCCAACAAAAAGTTCAAAAAATGAAATTGTAAAAGATAATGATGTTGAAAAGGAAAAAACCGTTTTGGAAAATGCTGTTAAAAGTCCTTCAAGTAAAACAAGGATAGCTTCCTCGAAAGACAATAACGATAAAAAAAATTTGGATGTTAAAAAATCTTTGTTTGATAAAAGTTTCGAAAGTGAATCTGATCGTACTCCCAAAACAAAATCAACTAAAAAATCTGATATGGACAGTAGTAAGTGGTTTTACAATTTTTTCCTTACTTTAATACATACCTGTGCTTAAAACAAGTGAATTAAATACGTAAATTCAATTTTTAATGTAATAATTTTGTAAAATTTCATCCGATTCAAGCAATATTACTTCGGTTTCTGATCATGTTTTTTATTAGCTGTCTAGCTATACAACAATAAGATAGGAACAATGAACATAGAATATTTTTATCGCTACTAGTTTTTTTATTTTGTTATAAGATAACAATACATTTAAGGTAAATAATATATCGTATTGGTCAGTCAATATTGCATTGGCATTGTTGTCCATAGATAATTTTTCAATTGCTTCTGATAAGAAAACCTGAATGATAGGAGGCTGGCCCTTTATACCGGTAATTGTTTTCTTCCAGTATTGGAAAAGTTTCTTTCATTTTAAATTGCGAAAAAAATATTAAGCGCTGTTGGATTTTTTGTGTTGTAGAGATTTGTTTAGAGACTTCTATGATAGATGAAAAAGAACGGTTTTAAAATTTTGGTTGCAGTGTTTATGAAATCATAAATATTTGCTTATGTGAGCACCCTCAAATGTATTCCGCTTACCATGTGGTGGTAAATATAGAGCTTCAATTTATTATTTCACATAGGACAGTAAATCAAATGTATTATTTTTTCGAAAATACTGTTTTATTTTGAATTAGGTATAATTTGTGTTCAAGACAAATTAAATGTACTTATTTTTAAAACAATTTTAATTAAAAAAATTGCACTAAGAAAGATTCCGTCTTTTAAGTCTGACATCGTGAATTTGAATCGAAGATTCTTAAAAGTTTTACATTGATTTTTCGAATATACTAAATGTTTTAACACCTTGATCACAAAACCATATTTGCGTTAATACAGCGGTTTAAATGTACAAGCACGTATAAAGTATAAAGCCCTTATTATTTTATACATACATGCTAGTCATTTTCTCAGTATAATATTGGTTAAATTTTATTTTCCAGCTCACGTGAAAAATAATTTATATAACTAAATCATTAAAAAATTCGTGCATAAAAAGAAAGAAGAACAGCTTTGTTTATATATTTTTTAGAATAATATTTACAGTTAAATAATTTCTTAATTAAAAAATGTTAAATTTTTCTAAATTATACTATTATTATGAGACATTTGATATATTATTAATAGAAATTCGATTTTCCTTTTTTAACCAAAAATAATCTAATATAACATACACAAAATATAAAAATCCTAAACCTATAAAATAATATCCATAAACTGAGTATTGTCCTATAACACTTAATTTAAATCCTATATCTTCAACAACAATTAATGTTAAAAATGTTTGCATTAATAATCCTCCAACAGTATTTATTCCAAATATTAAACCATAACTATCCTCTTCTAAATGACGTGCAACTTCAGCACTAAAATATAAAATGGCTCATTATTGAATCAATATAATTAAATAATATAATATCATACCTTGTAACAGTAATTGTATATGAATATAAAGCACCAAAAATAATATAGCCAGCATAAGCGCAATATAAATTACTTGTTAGACATGAAAATAATATTGAACCTCCTTGAAGAAATGATAGAATCGCTAAACTCATAAAACTTTTACGTGGTGTTAATTTTCCAAAATGTGCTATGCCAGCTAATAAAGCAAAACATGTCCCTAAACCAGTTAAAGCAGCATCAACAGCACCATTCCACAGTTCCTATAAAAGTAATAAAATATGGAATATTGTTATATTTTTCCTTTGTTTTTTTTTAAGGATATCCAAGACATTATTGGCAATATATTACCGGTGGATTTTCATCGATATCATTCCATAAGACTTGAATATAACATATAAATTGTAAATAACCTCCAAGACCAAATGCATACCATAAACTCCATAAAAGAACTTTTCTATTAGAATACGCACTTTTAAATTGATACCAAAGTAATTCAAATGGTGATAAATTATTTTGTGATGAAATATTAACCAAATTATCTTCAACATTTGAATTTATTTTTCCATTTTCAATTTTTGCTATATGTGGTTTTGATTTTGTTTCTCGATGAAAATATAAACTTGACTTAACACTCGGTAACATAAATGCCCATATTGTTGCAATAATTTGCGCTAATTTTGAAAAAAAAATTTGTTAATTATGAAAAGTGAATATAATTTTAAATAATACAATAATATTACTTGAAATCTCAATGTAAAATAATTGGTACTTTTCAAATTCTGTGTGGCGAAATTGTGTTTCGAAAACAAATTAACTTCTATCAAAAATAATTGAATTTTTTATAATAAATCAAAATATTTTTCATTAATCTAGTTTAAGATATAAATTTCATTGTTATCTTTGGATTTTTACGACGTCAAATGTAGCAATAAATGAAATTATTACGCTTAAAATTAAATTAATATCAAATGTAGCGCTAAATCGTCACTGATTAAGAAATTGATTTCTATTTATTTAGACATTTAAGAGGTGCTTATCTTTTTTAATGAATTTTTGTTTTTGATAAAATACTAATAAAAATAGTATGTACTTCACTTACTTGCAAATGTGATATAATTTAATTCCATATAATCCATTAATTTGAAACTAACTAATATTTGTGATGATATACTAGCTACCATTTTACCAGCAAACATTGCTGCTCTTGTATGTGATGTAACTTTTGGATAATATTTTTTATCAACTTTGGCATAAATGTATGTGTAATATGCAACTTCTGTTGCCATAAAAGTACCATAACAAAATTCCATAATTTGTAATGCCAATAATGATGTTGTCCATATTAATAAACTAGACACAATAATACCTGATATTCCAATGACAATAATTAATGGTTTGTACCTAAAAGTTAAGAGAATTAAAAAATTAATTTTTTTTACATAAACTTGCATGTTAGTAAATGATATTATTTGCATTTGAATATTAAATTTAAAATTCATAATTACCTTAAATAATCTGTTATTAAAAATACAATAAAAGATTGTGCTAAATACGAATAAGTTCCAACTGGAAAAATTTCACGATTTAACTAAAATGTAAAGAAAATTTTTTAATTAGTTGATTAATTATGTTAAGGTTAAAAGTATAATAATTTAAAAAATAAAAATACTTTAAAAATGGCGTAAAAAATACATTGACAGGCTTTGGTTCATGAGATTAAGATTCAGTAATGAATTCGCTTAAAATTTTTAATAGTATTTTCGGAAATTTCAAAAATTTGTAATGATTTGGAATGGAATGAAATATGTTTTAATTGTTTCTCTCGTAGAATTTTCCAAAACTGACTGTATATTATTTAATATGTACTATGACGTATTTACTTGTGTTTTCTAATAATATAAAATAAATTTACGAGAACCTTACAGACACCCACAAAAAATTAAAAAAATTTTGATGTTATTAAACTTTGAAGGGAATTATTTTAATAACTTTATAATATACGTACACATTTCTTTAAAATAGAACACGAAGATAATTAATTTCCATTTTTAAAAATTTATCAAAAAAAAATATGTGTATATATGTATATACAGATTTAATATTATTAATTTTATAATACGAATGTAATACTAAAATAGTGGCGAAATTCCATTGTGGGACTATGCAAGGAAGTTTCAATCTTTTGATATTTTCGTCTAAATAGAATTTTTCTGACTTTTTCTTCCGAAAATATCATTAAAATAATTATGTAAAATAATAATTACGACTGTAATTATTATTTTCACACAAATATAAAATTATTTGCAATCAAAATTAAAACTTTTTAAAAAATTATTCAAATTAAATCAAATTAATTTCAGTTTTTCTTAACTATGATTATTTCATTTCCGCTTTGATTTTTTTAACAAATTTATTAAGGTATAGATTTATCATTTTGCTTTACACATTATAATTTTATATTTTATTAAAAAACAAAAATTAATTAAAAATTATTTAAAAATATTCCCATTTTTTGGTTATAAATATAAATTTTTTTAATTTATTTATCAATTATATTTTCCGGTTATAACTAGCAAGATAGCAAGAATATTTTAATTATATTTTGGAGACGGTCACAATACTTATATCGATACTTATATATTTTTATATTTTCATTAAAAATCTTATAAATATTTTAAAACTTAAAATATATTTTATATGTTGATGATAAATATTAAAAATTTTCAACAACGTGCTTTTTAAATCTATTATATTGCTTTGAATAAGATAAAGTATGCATAAAAAATATAACCATACAACATATTCACACTATATAACAAATATAACATTGTAGTTAAATATATACAGTCGAATTTTTATTCTTTGAGTACACCAGATGATAAAGTTATTGAAAATATTTTAATCCAATTGTTCCAAATCTTTATTTTTTAAATTGCATACTAATTTGAATTGAATTTGGCAAAAGTGAATAAAACAAAATTCGAATTATTGTAACTTATTCGAATTTGATACTGTAATGTAAAAAACAAGTGCAGAATTCGAACTTTTTTATAAACATTTTTCTTCCATACCTGATCTGATGTGATATTTCGCCATGGTCCTAAAATAAACACGCTCATATAATTCTCTGAAGGGCGAATTTCTCGTATAAATCCAAAGAGGCAAAGAAATAAGGAAACTCTCATCCATTCTTGCATTTTTATTTAATTTTTATTTTTTCTATTTCGAATTCCCAATCAATATCACTAAAATTTTGTTTTATTATTGTGCAATTATACAGCGAATAACGTTTAAATTCCCTTCGCTTTAAATAATATTAAAAAATTTTTTTTAATATTTCTATTTATTTTATTTTGTACTTTATTATTATTATTATTTATATTTTTTTTGTTTATCATTAAGATACACAATGAACATACATATATGTACATATATATGAATATGAAATTTTTTGATAAGTTAACTACATAATTAAAAAAAAATATATATATTTTTTTTTCGACTATAATCCAGTATATTTTTGTTATAATAACTATATTTATAATAATTATTTATGTAAAAGGTAAGAGAATGAAGATTATTTTATATGGCACTATCTTATAAATAAAAATAGGTATAAAAAAAATTATAAACAAAAATAAAAATAGAAAAAAAATAAATAAATAAAAAGTGATCGTTACGGTGTTTACTAAAGACTAGGTATATCGCGACTAACCTAACTAAATTTAAAAAATAAAATCCACGAGTTTTTCATCTTTTTCTCCTATTTAATGTTATTTTTGCTGTTTTTTTTTTTTGTTTTTTATAATATTGAGCAATGTGTTTTTTACGCATGTATTTGTTATGCCATTGAAATATGACTATAAAGAATATCGAGTATTGATATGATAATAGAAATTTTGTTACTAAACGATTATTATTTAAATTTATTAAGAAATAATTTCTCTGTTTCTATAGCTATATTGTATTTTTTTCTCTTCAAAATAATAGAGAGTATCCATTCAATTTGGAGTAAATGTGTTACAAAATTATTTTTATTAATATTATTTTTCTCCTTGTTTCTTTAAAAGTTAAAAAATTCTTGATTTTTATTAAATGAACATCATTAATAATGTTGAAAAAATGGTGTTATATCAAGAATATTTTCGTAAAATGTTTTTTTATAATATTAACGAGAAAAAAATAGAGTTGACCTTGTCAACTCTGTGATACCCGTACGAATTTGTTATCCTATGTGCGAATAACTAATGTGCCATAACTAACTATGGGGCAGATTATGACTTTAAGTTGCCGTATTACCATATTAATTTATGCAAAATTTCAGTACTATGTGTTTTTCAAAATACTGGTTGTGCCAAAATACTATTGAAGTTGTATGGCAGCTACCAGAAAGAGCCAAGAAATTTTAGCGAATTTTATCAAGTACATCGGCCCTACTAATATATTCACTTGTGTGGAATTTCAATATCACAGCTTTTATAGTTTCTGAAATATAGTCAAATAACTTTTGAAGTTGTATGGCAGGTACCAGAAGGAGCCAAGCAATTTTAACGAATTTTATCAAGTACATCAGCCCTACTAATATATTCGCTTGTGTGAAATTTCAATACCATAGCTTTAATAGTTTCTGAAATATAGTCAAATAACTTTTGAAGTTGTATGGCAGGTACCAGAAGGAGCCAAGTAATTTCAACGACTTTTATGAGACACATTGGCCCTACTAATATATTCGTTTGTGTGAAATTTCAATACCACAACTTTTATAGTTCTTGAGATATAGGCAAATAAATTTTGAAGTTGTATGGCAGCTACCCGAACCGGTACCCCGATCACGTCCAATTTAAATAGGGTTCTGACACTTACTACAATAAATCATTTGTGAAAATTTGGTGAACTTAGCTCAATTAGTTTTTGAGTTATCGTTCGGACGGGCGGACGGACGGACGGACAGACAAAGCTAAATCAACTCAGAATTTGACGCTGATCAAAAACATACACTTGAGTCTATATCTAACACCGTTATTTCTTAGCGTTACAAACGGTGAGGCAAATTTAGTATACCCTTCGAACATACGTTCGTACGGGTATAAAAATCAGAGGTTTAACTTTTGGCTTCATGGTAACATTGTGAAGATAAATCACCATGTTATTATGTGCCTCGATATAATATTCACCTTTCGTATAAACGTTAAATAAGAATTAACCATTATTTATGTCGATTTAGGTTAAAATATTATGTACATAAAGACATAGTACACTGTAGAACGAGTCTTTTAACAAATTGTTAGAAAAAATATAAAAAAATATTAAGAGAATATTTTGCAAAATAATATGAGCCATTTTATTCGTGAAATACTAGGAACAATCTTTTCAATACAGGCTATTGAGTATTTTTTGTTATTTTAGCTTGTTGAATGTCTCAAAAATGATTTCTTAATTATAATGATCTAAATTTATGATCAAACTGAAAAATGAGTGATACTCCAATACACTTTTTCTTTTGTTACAACACTATTCCAAATTTTGTGTTGCTTTTTTTTATATTTTGTTCACATTTCATTAATTTATACGTACATCTTGCTTTTAAATAGAACTGTATGAAGAGATTTTCTGACAATTGAAATACATACATATATGTATATTATCAGAAACACGTTTTTAATAACAAGAAAATAATATTATGTAAATAACACTTTTCTCTCATATTTTGTATTAAACTGGCAAATATTGATTCATTAATGTCCTATAAAATGATATGCAATTCAATAAAGAAAAAAGAAATACATGCATGTCACTTAGTGTCTGGCAAGAAAAGTAAATTTTATCAGCAAATTGTATTATCAGAATATGAAAAAGAAATAAGAACATTTTTGCCGGAGAACTAACCGGAAGGAAAACATCAATGTAGCCCAAAGACTATAGGGTACCTATTATATGTACATAAAATATTACGTATTGAATTTAAATTTTAATTGTAGCAGGGCTACAATAATGTCGTCCTATCCCATTTGCGTTTGTAGGCAGGTTTAAAATAAATTAAGTTCTACGAGATATAGGATTCTGAAAAGGCAGAAAACATGTTTGAATTTTTTGTTTATGTCAAAGACAATTATTGTTATAAGTATAAGTACACAAATATTTTGACACAAATAAATTTACTTTTAATATTTTTGTTTGTTTAAACAAACCCGCATACTTACATTTATTTGAAATTTTTAAAATCGAATTGTCAAAGTCATAATGTACAACATATTTGTACTAATTTATTTCTTCAAAAGTTTTGATTTTTTTTTAATACACAGAATAATTATTCAAAAAAAGGTTGATTAAATGATGATAATGATAGATGATTATAAAGGATTTTGATTACTTATGCTAGAAAATGACCAGTCAAGGCCTTTTTAAAGTTCATCTAATACAGTGACTGAATTGATAACCCTCTAATAATTTTATATGACATGTACATAAATATATGATTTAATTTTAATAACATTAATTTAGCAATAAAAAATTCAAGAATGACACATTAAAACTATAATATTAATATTGGAATTTAATCTCTAATTCAGTCCCTTCAGGTTATGAAATTTAGATCTAATAAGAATAACAATAATTATGAAATGAAATTAGTTTTTTTTATGAATTACTTTTATTATTTTTATAAACATTGGTTTATTATTATTTTTATAAATTCACATTGCAAATTTGAATCTGGAACAAAAATTACATTATTCTTAATTTTTACATTGTAAATAAGTTGACCTGACCTACTTTAAACACATATGTATTTATATATTTTTAGGCATTCTAACTGATGAAGATCGCCATGAACGGAAACGAATGAGTGCGATTTTGTATCAGAAATATAAAAATCGTTCCAGTGCTATTAATCCAGGTTCAAAAGAAATTCCTAAAGGGAAACCAAATTGTTTATCTGGACTAACATTTCTTGTAACCGGTATATTAGAATCAATGGAACGAGATGAAGCAAATCAAGTTATAAAAGATTTTGGAGGCAAAGTAATGTCAACTGTTGGTAAACGTCTAAATTATATGATAGTTGGAGAAGAAGCTGGTCCTAAAAAACTTGCAACTGCTGAAGATTTAGGTGTGAAAATAATTTCAGAAGATGGACTTTTTGATTTAATTAGAGAAAAATCTAATATGGATATTTCAAATAAAGTTACAACTAGTCCAAAAGATAAAAAACATGTTCCAAAAGTAGTAGAAAATTCGAAGGAAAAAAGTAAAAGTCCTCAAATTAAAACAAAAAAAGAAAAAACTGAAGAAAAAAGTCTGAAAAGAGAAACTGAAGAAAAAGTTATGAAAGTTCCAAATGAAAAAATTCAAGAAAAATCTAGTGAAAAAAGAAAAATTAATGATAACGAAGAATATGTAAAAGTAAAAAAAGAAAAAAAAGAAAGTCCTCAAAAGATGCAAGATATTTCACCCAAGAAAACTGAGATCAAAGAAATATCCAAAGTTGATAATAGTATGTTATCATGGGTTGATAAATATAAACCAACAAATTTGAAACAAATTATTGGTCAACAAGGAGCTGCTAGCAATTGCGTTAAGTATGTCATTTTTCTTATACATCGAGCGCAAAATTTTTTCAATAATTAATTGATTTTAGGTTACAAAATTGGTTATCGAAATGGTACATTAATCACGACGGTAAGAAAAAATTACAAAAACCTAATCCGTGGGCTAAAAATGATGACGGGTCGTATTATAAGGCTGCCTTATTATCCGGACCTCCTGGAATAGGTAGAAAAGAAATAATTTTTTCTATATACATACATATTTTACTTCTTTCACAAAATCATATTGAAAATTTTAGGAAAAACAACAACCGCTCATTTAGTTTGCAAAGAACTAGGCTTTGATGTTGTGGAATTTAATGCTTCCGACACTCGAAGTAAAAAGCTTCTTAAAGAAGAAGTATCAGAATTATTATCAAATAAATCATTATATGGTTATTTTAATGGCCAATCTGTGTCTAAAAAGCACGCTCTATTGATGGATGAAGTTGACGGTATGGCTGGAAACGAAGATCGAGGTGGTATTAGTGAACTAATCTCATTAATAAAAGATTCATCAATTCCGATAATTTGCATGTGCAATGATAGAAATCATCAAAAAATGAGATCTCTGGTTAACTATTGTTATGATTTAAGATTTAATAAGCCACGTTTAGAGCAAATCCGGGGCCCTTTGATGTCAATATGTTTTAAAGAGAAATTAAAATTGCCTTCTGGTAAAATTGATGAAATAATTTCAGCAACCAATAATGATATTAGACAGACTATAAATCATCTGTCATTACTTGCTGCTGGTGATGAGTCTAAAATTGAAGTTAAGGAAAAAGAAAGAACTGCAGAAAAGGATTTAAAATTAGTTAAATATATAAATGCATATGTATTTTTTGACTTGAAAAATTTTTTTATTTCAGGGACCATGGGATGTAGTGCGAAAAGTTTTTACAGTAGAAGATCAAAAGAAAATGAATATTCATGAAAAAAGTGATTTGTTTTTTAATGATTATAGTTTAGGTCCATTGTTTGTTCAACAAAATTATTTACAAGTTTTACCTGATGGGCCAAAGTAAATTATATGATTTAAATTTTAAGAAAGAATCCTTTTGATTTGTTTACAATAATTTCATTTTAGAGATAAAATTCCAGAAAAAGTTGCGTTAGCTGCTGATTATTTAAGTTTAGGAGATTTAATAGATAAACGTATACGATCTAATTCCGCTTGGAGTCTTCTACCAACACAAGCTATGTTTAGTTCAGTTATGCCAGGTGAATGCATGTCAGGGCATTTTGTTGGTCAAATTAATTTCCCAGGTTGGTTAGGTAAATATTCAAAAGCAAATAAACGTAAACGCTTGGCTCAAGAGTTGCATGATCATACAAGGATAAGAACTTCTGGATCAAGACTTTCAATTAGATTAGACTACGCGCCATTCCTATTAGATTCTATAGTAAGACCTTTAAAAAAGGATGGTATTGATGGCGTACAAAGTTCACTTAATATTATAAAAGAGTATAGACTATTAAGAGAAGATATAGAATCTTTAATAGAATTGACAACATGGCCTGGTCGTAAAAATCCAATGGACGCTGTAGATGGAAAAGTTAAAGCGGCTTTAACAAGAGCTTATAACAAGGAAGTTTTAGCCTATTCATATTCTGCAATGGCTGGTGTCAAAAAGAAAAAGGCAGAGAAAATGGATGATATTAATGAAATTGATGAGGAGAATGTTGAACTTGGCGGAGGAGAAACTATTATTTCTGATAATGAAGATGATGATAATATTGAAAATGATGCATTAATCAAAGTATACGAACCAGAATTGTTTAGATACTTCAAATTTAATTTAATGTACATATTTTTAGGCTAAGAAAAAACCTGCATCCAAAGCTGGAACATCAAAGGAAACAAAAGTAGATTCCAATAAAACTACTAAAAAATCCAAAACAAAGAAATAGTAGTTGAAACACAGTTAAATTTTAGGTTTTCTAATTCTAGTTACTACGAATAATAAAAATATGTCATATTCTCATCAAAAATTTGTTTTCATAGTACATATTGGGTTGTTGACCGAATCTAATAATTAAATATTCAACGATAGTGAATATTTATCAATATATTGATAGTTCAATAAATTGATAGTTTTATTTTAAAAAGTTCAAAATGTAGATATATATGTATCTAAAAAGATGTTATTTAAGTTAAAAAAATAAAAATTTTGTCTACTCCAGTTTAACAGTTAACATACCCAATGACAGTTTATTCTGTGTAGAGAGTGACATATGATTATGTGGGTGTAACTGTTGTATTCTCATAAATTATAAAATACATATAATTTAATAATTAATTTTCATAACTCTTCTAAAGTTGCTTCCATTAAATTTACGTATTAAAAAATATTGTAGTGACAGACATTAGTGCCAATTATAAATTCCTATTTTTATTTGCACTAAATTTTGATTGTAGCACTGTAGAGAATTTAGTGTTGAAGATTTTCCTAAATACTTTCTAAACTATGCTGTTTATTTATTTTGAAAATATGTGAGTAAATATTTTAGTATTTTTATATTTTGGTTTACATTTAACAGAAATTAAGAAAACATTTTCATCAAAAATTACAAAAGAAAGATTTGCTCATCAAATAATGAAAAATTGATATTATTGATATTCCAAATTTTGAAATTCAAGTATTGCATTTATGTATGTATGCCCTTCATGTTACAGTCAAACTTTTTATTAAAACTCATAAATTTAGAAATATTATTGTGAAGATCTTACAATTTAAATAACATAATAAAATTTTTATATAAAATTTCAAACATAACGGAATATTTGACAATTTTTCTCAAATGTCATTGCTTTAGTACATTTGTATAAAGTACAATTCATATTTTTATTCACCATACCAATTCTGTACTTGAACTTCGAAGGTTCAAAATAATTTTTCCATAAAGTTTTTGTCATTAGAGTTTTGACGCGAGACGTGAAATGTTTTAAATAAAGACTGTACATCGCTCTTCGTTCGGTAGATAAAATGCCAAAAAGAAGAAATTGAATTTTTTTTTAATTTTTTTTTGAAGATTTTTTACCCTAATTTTTCTTTTATATTATTTACAAATATTATTAATGAAAAAAGAAAATGTAATTTAATTTAAATAGTTTTTAATAAAAGTGCAATATGAATATTAATTAATTAAATTAATTGTATAAAATTTAATTTAAAATTACAAAAAAGAAAAAAAAATCATCTAGAAAAAAAAATAATTTCTATGTTTTCTCTATACCAATTAGTTAACTAAAATTGTAAATTTAATAAAATTAAGTGCCAAATTTATAAAAAAAAATATCTAAAATCAATTATAATATCCAAAATAGTTAAATTATATTAAAAATTATTGAAATTATAAAGAAATTTAAAAAAACATAAAAATTCAAGGAAAGAGAAAAATTAGTAAAAAAAAATTTTTTTTTTTCTTTTTAACACCTATATGGGTGGAGGTGAAAATATATAAAAATTTATTTGAGAGTTACAAAAACAAAAAAAAAAAAACAAAAAAAAAACAGAAACAAAAAATCAAACATTCAGATATTTTTTGTCTTTTTTCTACCATAAATATCTTAAGATTTCACTTGTAATTTCTTTTGCGTGGTGAAAATAATTTCTGACATAGCATAGTAAAACGTCAAAATTACACGCGACTTTAATAGTATGAGAATCTTGTAGAAAAAAGAGAGAGAAAATAGAGTGTGAAATATTTTTTTTTTTATTAAATAAACACAAAAATGACAAATTCTACCTACTTATAAAAGTGTTGTGTTCTCAATTTTGTTCAACACAAAGTAGAGTGCCCTGCGTATTTCAATTTTTTATTTCGATAATATAATTTTACTCTATTAATATTAGTTTTTTGTTTTTTTTTGCCATATATTTATGCCTTTTAAAATGACAAAATAATTTTCGTTAATGTTAAACAAAAAATAGAAAAAGAAAAAATTCCTGAATAAACAAACAAAAATTTACATTCATTTATTTACATACATACATATATACTTTTACACACATACAAAAACTTACTATTACCGTAGATAGCAAAAACAAGAAGTTTGTATGTATTTTTAAAGAATTAAAGAAGTAAACTCAGCTGAAAAGGATAATAATAAAAAAAAACAATATTCAACGAAATTGAAGAAGAAAATTGCGAAAACGAAAAAGAAAACAAAAAATTTTAATTACGCCTAAAGGTTAGTATAGTATCCTATTTTTTATCTCTTTTTTTTCCTCTCACCCCTTCCTGAATAAAATTTAAATAATACTGTTTGTTTGTATATAAAATGCATCTCAAATTATACATTGTATGGTACGTAGCTAGTAGTCTTTTAGGTATTTATAATTTATTTCCATTCTTTAAAACAGAATATTGTTCTTTCATCGTACATAACGAATGAAAAAGTAAATTAGAATTGTCTTTTGCCGAAGACTTTATTAATTTCCTTTTTATTTTGTCAACATTGAAATTATCATAAAACTTATACATGCATATAAGTGTTTATATTTATGTACATACATACGTCATAAATTTTTTATGATATTTTAATACGAAATATTTTTAATTTAAAAATAATCTTTAAAATTTGCAAGTACTTTTCATTGATTTTATAGAGAATCGTTGATGATAGTAAATCGTAATTTTATAAAGGATTTAAAACTTTATTTTAGAATTTCAATAAATTAAGTATAAGAAAAAATATATTAATTAATACTTATCTGTAATACAGTGTAATAATAATACGATATAACTGTCTAGCTAGCCATTGTTATGAATACATATACCTCGTACTTTGTAGCCCCATTTTTTGGAATTATTATTAAGTACTATTATAATACTTAATTATCTAGTATTAAAGAGTGTGTAAGATAGGCATTGTAACTTACGGCAACAATAATTTTAAGTCTAATATCTAAATATTAAGTGATATAAAAAGGCTCGCTTGAGTTAACAATAACAACAGTACCTTAATAAGTTTAATAAGTGTCTTAAATACTTAGAAGTAATTGGTGATTACTTTTTCTATTGTCAAATAAATATCAAGTGAAGTAACTATTTATGATAGACAGAAACCGTTTAGAGAGGTATTCATTTATAACATACTTACATAGAAAATAAGCTATTCATGACGATCATATGAATCTGATACACACTATGTACTCGTATATGTACATAGTTTGTATTTATTAAAAATATTATTTAGTATAGATACTTACATACTAATAAGTATAAGTATGTAAATTTGTATGAATGTACATATATAAAAATTATATCCCTGGGATGAAAATATAAGATATTTGTAACCTAGTTTTTCTCAATTGGAATTTTTTTTATTATTGTTATTATTTTTATTCGAGTTTTTCCTTTTCTAACTTATTTTACTTACTCTTTCCTCTTCACTTACATATTATTATTATTGTGTTGTTGTTGTTTTTTTTTTAATTTGACCTGATTTTTTTTTTATTTCACAGGATTTTTTTCTCTTTTAAATTTGAAATTTTCATTTATTTTCTTTTATGTTTGTAATTGTGTATACTATGGTAAATAACGCAAAATACTTGTAGTTATTTAGTTTTATACTATTTAAGTAGTTACGTGCATACATATAGAATTTATAGAATTGTATATACTTACATACAAAGTTACAAATTCGTATTTTACAATAAATATGTATGTATATATTTTATTTACCTATAATAACTCTGAAAATGTATGTACAAATATGTGTTTTGCTTTTAATCAAATTTAATAGATATGCTTTTATATATACATAAATATGTATGTATTAGTGGTCAGAAAATAAAGAGATGAGGGTTGAATTTTCCATTCATTTTCATTTTATTCAAGTTTTTTTTTAGTACGCATTTTATTGTTTAATGTAAGTCTATAGGCACTAATTTGTATGTAAAGCAATATATATAATATTAACATTGTATATAATACAAAGTTTTATTCAGTTTACGCAAAAATTTATTTAGGTAATAAGTATACATATGTATGTATGTAATATAAATGGGGTAGACATAATTAAATATGTACATATTCATATGTTAATAAAGATAAAGAAAAAAAAAATAATTTATAATAATTCTAAAATTAAATTATAATTATAATAATTTCTAATTTAATAAACATATACATATATGTATAACATAAAGTCTCCACTATGTCTGACACATTAATTAATGGAATGTTTTTTTTTCAATTAATTAAAGTATATACGTCATCTAATTTAATGGCAATATTTTCATGTAAATTATTATAAAGTTAGTTATAAAGTTAAATGTGTACTTAGTGCTATATAACCATATACACACATACATACATACATATTTATAAATTAAGTAAGTACTTGTGAAGATTTCAGTATCCCCGGAATCTTTATTAATTTGCTTAATTTCTGTATGTTTCTGCGAAAAAATTTTCCAAATTATTTGAATTTGATTTACTATTGTTGCTTAATTTATCTCAGAAAATAAAAAGACCCAGTACAGTAAGGGTATATATTATTCTTAAAGTAGACTTTTGAAAAATTTAGTTTTAAAAGTGAACTTATTTCATTTTTCGAAACCAAATAAAATACAGTGTTCGCAAAAATAAAATACTTGGAAAATTTTAATAGCAATAACTAAATAAAAAAGAAGTGGGTCTAAGAAATTTGAACATGAATAGTAAATAAAAATACTTACTTATATTTTATTTACATACGTATGCATAAGTGGAAATTAAATTTCAACTTAGCTTATTTAAAATTACATTGCTAAATTTAAGCGTTCGCCAGCTCTTTTGTGCTTTTTATTTAATTTTAAGTTTGATTTTAACTTAAAGAGAATTTTTTTTAAAAATTTTAAATAAATAATAAATTTAAGGCTACTTTTGCTAATTTCAAATTATCAAAAGTGTAACTAAATTTACTAAAACTAATTTTGCTAATTGCGGAGGCTCTCTGAAGTATAAGTATATATAAGATCTCTGAAGTATATGTACATATGTACAATTAGTAATCAAATATACGTTGCAAATATACATTACATGTAAAACCCATTTAATAAAATAAATTGTATATACTTAAATTGTTTAAATTTGTAAGTATATGTTTTATATAAATACAAAACATAGCGATAAAATTATTGCATACTATAAGTAATATCTTATTATTCTATTCTATTATACTATATATAGAAAAACAACAAATTTTTATTCACCATATTATCACATTATATTCACCATATTATGTTCTAATACTTGATTATATAGAAGAAACAACTGGAAATATAATTACAAAATGAGAAAGAATTCTATAGAGAAAAAAATATGATGACGTCATAATCTAGAATATTTCAAAGTGTGTTTATCAAACACATACACAAAGAATATACATATATACATGTTATATAGTTATATATTTACTTTGAATTTGCTAACAAGAAAAAAAAAATATATCAGTATATTTTTTGTAGTAAATAATGTAATTATATATTTCTGAAAGTTTAAATAAGTTATTGGTAAAAAAAAATTATTGAAAATTAAAACTTGTATAAAAATTTTGGAAAAGCTGAAAATAATGAAATCATAATGATATATGTTTGTATATTGCTTAATATGAATTTTGTTTTTATTAATATATACTTACATAAATGTGAACTTGTATAATTTATAAGTTCAAGCGTATTTGAAATAGGGAATAAATGCCTTAACTTGCTATCTACTTTGTTCAGTAATGAAAAAAGCGACGATCAGTAATTCTGTTCGTCATTGCTTTTAAGCCTTATTAGATACATATGCGTACAAAATTCGATTATAAGAAAATTTTTTATTAGTTTTGGAACAATTCCATTTCGTAATTTTCACACTTCGCTAATGCAAATGAAATACATTTGAATTGTTTTATTTAAATTAAAATTTTGTCTACAATTGGTCATTACATACTAACATACTAACTATATGTGTATATAAAAACTAGATTACTAATAATTTGCAAATATACTATAATTGTATATACATAATGTACATAATATGTTTCTGCATTACATGAAAAATAATAATAATTCTCATATTTTATGATATTTAATTGGCAACACTGCATTGCGCATGTTTTGTTTACAGTTCATACTTATTTTTGTTTTTTATACTTCTTCCCGTTTTTTTTATACCTATTTGTTGCTATTAAAAAGAAATTATTAATGACAATTTAATTATAGATATTTTATTATTAAATATTATTTAAGTACAATATATTATATAGGAAATAATATAAACATACTTATTTGAAAATTTTCACATATATGTATATTTTATGAAGGTAGACACTTTTTGCAAGATAATATTTCCTCATTAATACTTACACAATATGTTAGATATAGGTGTACATACTTTATATCTACAAACTCTAGTGAAATACGTGCGTGTAATTTCATATTTCTTTTTTAATTAAATTATTTATTCAAATCAAGTTTTATTTTGAAAATATTCATTAATTAACTAACATTTAATTTGAATTGAAGAAATTTAATTGTTAATATTGTTTATCAATTTGAAAAATAAATTTTTTAAAATTTAATTACTTAATAAATATCTGATTAAAATTATATTGTTAAGAAATTGAACTGAAATAAACAATAGGCAATAATGTCGAAAAATTAAAAATGATCGAAAATAAATATACTTAAATAGGAACTGTAAAACGGAAAATAATATAACATGCTAGTACATTTTAACTTCGGAAAAATAATTTAATTTGTAGCTATATTGCGTACACTCACTCAAATACATGCATTGCATATATACAAGATCAAATTTAATACTTCATAATAATGAATTGTATACTAATAAACTCGAATCAAACTAAGTCGTGTTTAAGAAATCGTAAACATAATAAGATTGTACAGAAAAAAAATGATATTTTATTGATTTATGTAGGTAAATACTCAATTATTTATATAGTTTATTCTTTTCACATTTCCTATTTCTATTGCATACTTTTAGGGTGATAATATTAATAAAAGTAAGAATTAAGTAGTATAATTTTGAATTGTAATACTATGTAGATAAGCTAATGGCCAACTTGGCATGCAACGATTTTGGTTCGATTTTCATACTTCAGAACGGCCTTCAGAAACAATATTATGTAGGTATTATAATTACACAATTATTTTATTGAGACTATAATGAGAGGCGAAACAATGTAGTAGAAAT